TTTCATGTAAGAGTTTTATTTCTTAGATACTTTGAGCTATCGCATCAAGGACCTATGTTTAACTCCTGAGCACTATAAGCTCTTTTTAAACATTTAAAGACTAGTGCTGGTGAGATGGCTCAGTGGGTAAAGGTGCTCATCTCCAAGGCTGACGACATAGGTTCTATGCCTGGTGGTATTAGGAGAGAACTATCTCTCACTGTGTCCTCTGGCCCCCCCACGCATGCCGTGGCCCTGTACACCCCAAAACCTTTATGCTTTCATGTGAGACACTATCAGTTGGTTGATATTAGGGAGCATATCTCAATCCTCTTTTTTTGTTGTGATCTCTCAGAAATCAAATCATCTATTAAAAATATTTGGTGGGGTTAAACGGCAAAGTCCACAATAGCGTTTATGAGTTCAGTTCTCACTTTGTGCTAAAAAACTTGGTGGAGACGTCACAGAAGCAGTTTCTTTCGGTCCTCACCCCAAACCCATGGCTGAGAGCTTGGTTGCCTTCCAATAGACACGAAGAGTTTAGGTACCTTGTCCAGGGTCATGAAGCTGGTGTCGAAGCTGGAGCTCAAGTTCAAGGGTAACAGCCAAAGCTTCTGGCATGATAACCCACCTTCCACGTAGGTAACAGCTTTGAAGGCTCAGAGGGCAAGGCACAGTCCTCCCAGGAACACAACCAAAAGGACACTTAGGGGACATGGTCCTGTCTTCACGCTCTTCCTGCTTCTCCCCAGGTATCAAGCACCGCAGCACCGAGCACAACTCTAGCCTGATGGTATCAGAGTCTGAGTTCGAAAGCGACCAGGACACACTGTTCAGCCGAGAGAGGATGGAGAGAGGGATCCTGAAGGGTTCCCTGAACGGTTCTGCCAGAAATGGAGCTTCCTTCGGTTACTATGCAAAGGACAGATAATGGGCTGTGTGTGGAGGGACCTCTTGGGCCTGTGACTCGGTACCAGACAGTGGGAGTTAACACGCAAAACTGACTCCTGCTTGGCACAACACTTTATCAACCCTTCCCAGGGCCCTTGTTCTGTGCTCCACATATTTATTAAAAGACTCGGGTTCTTAGAATTTTCAAGACAAAACAAAACATTGCTTATTCAACTGACGCTCATTAATAGAGAAAGAGGCACATAAAACTTCTGCAGAGCGTACTGAAAAGAGTTTTGTGTCTCTGTACTGGACTCTTATTATATTTCTTGCCCACGGTGAAATAAGGCTAGCACTTGTTTCTCCTTATAGCCGCTTAGGAAAAACAAGGAGGGTTGATTCCCTGTAGAAGCTGTGACAGGAAACCTTCCAGGAGTGGCTTCTCAGAGGACCTGCGGGGCCAGCTTGCTGTTCATCTAGAAGGCAGGAGCCATCTGCATGCAGTGGGCTGCCTGTGTTGATCACGATGGTCATTCAGGAGTTAAGGAAGAATCAGCATCTAAGGCCAGGCACTGAGGTGGGGAGGGGGGAAGGACTTGCAGGTTGAATGTTGAAGGTAGCCTTTACTATTCTTTCTGTCTTTCTCAGTTCTTCTTTTTCTCTAAGAAAAAGAGACCACAGTGGGGCTCCTTTCAGCCCTGGTGGACGTTAAACTGACTGCTTGTTCCCTTGACTTTTATTGAGTATGCACCTTAGCACTGCCGTAGAAAAGGGAAGGATTCAGTGACCGCGGACATATTCCAAAACTCTGAAACATGCTCTTAATGAGGGGAGTGTGGTCACCATGCTCCTACAAAGACTTCCCATAGAAGTAACTGGATAGAGAGTTCACTATTTATGCTTAAAAACGTATGTAAGGCGCTAGAGAAATGGCTATATTTAAGACCACTCGCTGCTCTGGCAGAGGACCGTGGTTCTGTCCCTAGTACTCACATGATGGTGTACAACTGTCCATAACTCCAGTTTCAGGGAGAGGGGGGTTCAGTGCCCTCTTCTGGCCTCCACTAGCAACAGCAATGTCCAGAGTTCATACATGTAGGCAAAATACTCATACACATAAAATAAAATCCTAAACCATATTTAAAATTTAAAGAACTAAATCGTATTTTAGTTCTTTACACAAAAAGGAAGGAAAGCACATCCTCCCACAAAGTGGCACCCCGGAGCAGTGAGCTGGAGCTAGCTGAGATGTTGATAGCCCTAGGGAGCCTTGGCAATGGTCTTGGCGTTCAAAGAGTAGAAGAGCCCACCACTGTAGTCCCAGCACCTGGGAAAGGAGAGCAAGGAGGAGCAGGAGTTCAAGGCTAGCCTTGGCTATGCAGTACGTTTGATGATAGCCTGGACTTCATGAGACCCTATGTTAAAGAATGGAAAAAGAAGTAAGAGAATTAGGACCATAGCTTAAATTTTAGTAGTTGTTTGTTTCTGGAATTTTCTATTTCTGAGCTAGAGGTAACAGAAAGCTCAAAACAAAGCAAAACCCATGAGTAAGAGTGTACTGCATCATACTTTACTGGGAAAATGGTCAAATTAAAATGTGTATGAATGTACTTTTATTTTAAAAGTAATTTCTTGGTTTATGCCTATACATCCTAGTTCAATATTACCTATGCTGTTAGAGGAAAAGTGATTTTTTTTTTAAAGCTAGTATTTAGTTTTATGAACAGAATCTTCCTAATCATCAAACCAGTGTGATGCTACCTTTTGTAGGGAACTGGACATTTCTGGCATAGAGGATGTGGTCCAAGTTAGACCAACAGAGCACAACTGTGAAGCCTGTGAATAGCTACTGCTTTATGTATGCATAAATATGCATAATGTATGTATTGCTCATAATTAATCGACCTTTATGATTCATTTTGAAAGGGGGCATGCCTACATCATAGACGCTTACTGAAGGTCCATGGAACCTAAGTGCTCTTTCCAGGGTCACAGTCAGCAGTGAATCTGGGAGTACCAAGACCTGTTTTGCAATGCATGAATAAGTCCAGCCTTCAATATTGGGGTGGGGGAGAGATCCTGGTGAGCCTTTCAGACCCCTGGAAGTTCTGTTGCTGGGGTAAGGAAGGAACTTTGGAGTATGCCTGAAAGCAGAAGACAAAGTGGGAATTCATGGACCTAGTCTCCCTACTGGAGCAAATTCTGAGCTAGCCTTCCCTCTAGGTTTGCAACGTGTGTGTGTGTGTGTGTGTGTGTGTGTGTGTGTGTGTGTGCCAGTTCTGTCCTTGGCTCTCTCAGTCCGGCCTCTCTGCTCCACCGGGCTAGATAGCAGAAGATAGCACCTCTTCTGCTATCACAAAAGAACCTTGAATCTGTGGCAAAGCAGAAATAAACATCACAATGGCTACTGTTAAACGGATTCCACCTGTGGCCCACTCATTTCCTGGGGACCAAAAGAGGGAGTAGCTTGGTCACTCAGCGTTCATTTTGTGCTGTTTATAACTACAGGTCTTGGGACCTGAAGACTCTAAGCCCTGTTAGTAAACAGAAGAGCAAATCTCTAGCGCAGTGGTCTCAACCTTCCTAAGGCTGCCACCCTTTATACAGTTCCTCATGTTGTAGTGACCCCCGACCATACAATTGTTCTGTTGGTACTTCAGAACTGTAATTTTGCTACCGTTATGAAACCCTTGTGAAAGGGTCGACTCCCAGGTTGAGAATCGCTGCTCTAGAGTATGGAAGAGAAGACTGATAGGGCTCAGAGGCTGAGAGCACAGCTAAAGACTGTTTGAGACAAAAGTCCAACCCCAGCATTCCCCCAACTGAGCATATTTACAACACCTTAAAGACAGGTAGCAGGCAGTCACAGTCACCTGAGATTCTAGTACTGGAAAAGTAGGGGCAGGAAGATCAAGAGTTCAAGATCACCATCCATGGCTGCAGAGGGGATTCAATGCCAGTTGGGGCTAACGCCCCGTGAAGTAAGAAAATGGTCACCAAGTTACCATGGATTCTGAGTCTTGATCTTTATTCTTTTCAATGTATTATTTTCCACATGTTCTGATAAAGTGTTGATTCTTGTGTAATACTATTAAATACAAGTGCTGATCTAAAGAAAAATGTCCATCTTTCCTCTAGTGTTTCTTTGAAGGAGAAATATATTTTCCATAAGCTTCCATGTAGAGAGGTTTTCCTGAGATTGTTCAGAAAACTAACACCTCTTTTCTCATGTTGCATGTGCTAAAAAAGGATGGGTTTTATGTTTTCAGTGTTATTTTTTTTCTTTTTTCTTTCTTAGTATTGGGGATGGGACCCAGAAGTTTGTCTGGTGCATACTAGACAACATTCTACTATTGAGTTACAACCCCAGCCCTGGGTTTTATGTTTCAGATGGCTGAAAAAATTTAAACTGTTTGATCAGATGCCTTATATATAAAGTTCAAATTTGTGTCTATGAACAGTTTTTTTGGAGCATGGTCATATTCATTATTTATGTATAAATTCTATGGCTGTACTTATTCTACAAAAAGTTTTAACTGTAATAGGAATTAACTGTAATAGGAATTTAACTGTAATAGGAATTGTCTGCAAAGACACTCCTTTGAAGAGACAAAGGCAGGCAGATCTCTGTGAGTTCAAGGTCAGTCTGATCTACAGAGAAAGTTTCAGGACAGCAAAGGCTGCATAGAAAGCCCATCACAAACAAACAAAAACAAGTGAACAAAGATTAAAACACTTATTATCTGGACCTGTATTCGACAAACAAACAGTTTTTGAAGCCCAGAAGACCGAATAGTCCTTCCTGAGGCCAGACAGGCAGCTTGAATTGATCATTTTCAGCTCATCAGGTTTTTCTCAGCATTAAAGGACCGCTATGGTGGCGAGATGATTAGATTCATGCATGGTCCTCAACTACATTTAAAAAAATTTTTATTAGCTGCATGTACACCTGAATGCCAGAAGAGGGCACCAGATCTCATCATAGATGGTTGCAAGCCACCATGTGGTTGCTGGGAATTGAAACCAGGACCTCTGGATGAGCAGCCATTGCTCTTAACCTCTGAGCCATCTCTCCAGCCCCCGCTTTTTTTTTTTCCTTTTTTTTTCTTTTTTAATAAAAGACAGTGTAGCCCTGGCCTGCGATTTACAGAGATTTGCCTCTGGAGTACTGGGGTGATTTAGGACTGAGACTACAGCTCAGGAAGAGGGCTTACCTAGTGTGTGTGGGACCTTAAGTTCAATTCATGGCACTGGAAAAAAGCCAAATTTTAAAAAGTAGATTGAAGTATAATTCATTTAATATAAACTGCATACATAAAATATAATTTGATAGATAGATTTTAGGTACGACCATCTCTGTAATCAAGAAAGTAGGTTGATTAAAAAGGTTCTGTGTGTCCCTTTATAGGCAATGCCTTTCCGAAAATCTCACCACCAGATGCCCTTGAATTTTCTAGTTTTGTAGAATTATGCTGTATGAGTTAATTTCTTAAACTTCCCTCTTCAATGAGCTGTCTCCACGGTGTTTACATCAATCAGTTCATTAGCAATTTTGTTGGGGTAAACTGTGGCGGTCCTGTCCTGAGACTAGACTACTACTCCTTACGATGGAAATCTCTTTGGTCATCATCATCTTGCAAGAATTCTGTATTTTACTGAGTTTTTTAAGTAAAAGAAGCAAATATGCATCAGCTCAACAATAATGACCTTCGGCCAGTGTTGGGATCTAAAATGTCCCTGGAAGGTTAGCGTGCGGAAGACTTGATTCCCCAGACCCTACTACAACAGCTGCAAGGCACTGGAAGCTTTAAGAGGTGGGTCCTGGAGAAAGGAAGTGACCTCATGTGTGCGCGTGCCTTCCGTGCCTTCCTCGCTCTGCCCGCCCTGGGAACCGTTTTCCTCTCCCCAGAGGGGTTGGTGCTCAGCCTGGCCCGCTCCCAGAGCAAGCGGCTCACAGTGGTGAACTGGACCGGTGAATCAGAATAGACCATTTCTTTTTTGTAAATTCATTACCTCAGGTATTGTGGCCAGCGACAGAAAGCTGGTTAACACATTTTTCCTCATGAAAAACGATTTTTTTTAAATGTTTCTCAAAGGTATAACTGTGTGTCCCCCACCCTCTTTTTTCTAGGTCGGCTTCCTCCCTTGCTCCAGTACACACATCGTTTTTTCTTAGAGGAAGAGGCTTTCAGCTCTCCTGCCTTCTCCTTTCCTATGACTGAAGTGACCTCCGGGCTTGTGAAAGAAATTGCCCCTGGTGTGGGCATGCCAGTGTCTGGCTGCGTCTCCAGTTCCTTGGGGCTAATCTCATCCTCATAAACTATTTTCTCCGGAACTCATCCGCAAGCCAGGAGTTGAAGGAGACCCTCTGAGCAGTCTTGGAGTTTATTCTAGATCTTCTTCGTTGTTGAGCCCTGGGGAGAAAGCCGATGGGGGGGGCTGTCTGTGCCTCTGCCAGTTGTCACTCAGGGGCCATTCCCTGTGCACTCTGCGGGGAAGGGGAAGACATCAGGTCTGTGAGCTGCAGGCCCGATACTGAGGTGGGAAGTCCATGGCCAACCCTTTCTGTCTTGATGATTTGTGAAGCAGTGCCGCCCTCCTGCCTTGACCACCCCCAGCTGGGATCTGAGGGGAGCTCTGCTCCTGGAGGCGGCTTGGGAGCTTGCCCTTTTTTGGTTCAACCCTGATCAAGGCTCTGCCTGGAGTTTCCACTGCTGTTGCTCCTTAAATGAACTCAATGGGCGTTGGGCTTGGGAAGGGGAAATGTCAGCATTCCAAGTCCCAACTTGAGGGAAGACGGTTGCCCTGGCACAGGGACCCTGCGACCACAGTTCGTACGTTGAACTCCTAACCCCCAAATTCTAGAATGTGTGAAGAGATGAATCTTTTAAGAGTAACTCAAAATGAGGCTGTAAGGGTGGGTCCTAATCCAATTTTAGTGTTATCACAAGGTGACTAGGCCCCACAGAGGGTTCCCAGGGGCACACGGGCCTAGTGGGGAAACGCAGAGAGGGCCTTCTGTAGGCCCAAGAGGCGGGGTCATATGGGACCTTCCCAGAGCTGACTAGGGTTTTGCCTTTACGGATGCAACCGCCCACAAACTCCATGGGTCCAGTGTCTTAAGAGTGGTGCTGCTGTAAAGGCCAGTTGGGTCAGGCCTTTTACGTGGAAGGCCCTACTCTGCCTAGGGACTCTGCTAGCAAGGCCATTGCCAAATGCCTTGACCTTGTACCAACTACACAAGCTGTGGTATTGTGTTATTAGCAACGGAAAATGCGCTCAGACAAGTGTTCATATTCGAGGATCGTACCTGGCTACCAAGGACTCAGAAAATGACTTTTTCATGCTTTCTCTGCAAAATAAAAGACTGGAAAAGCGACTAACGGAGTGTGGAGAAGAGATTAAAGGCTGGCGCCGCCCTTAGGCAGCTGCACAAGCAGAGACGTTGTTTCGAATACTTGGTGGTGGTAAGGTTCTAGACCCAGCACAAGGTACTCATTGATCTGGGGCTCGTTGGTGAGGAAGTACAAATTCGTTTGTTCTTTAGTTTTTCTTTATTTCTCTTCTGATAATTCATTTTACACACCAACCACAGTTCCCGCTCCCTCCTCTCCTCCCACTTCCCCTGCCTTCCTCCACTCCCCGCCCCCCCCCCCCCCCACACACACACTCTTCAGGGTAAGGCCTCCCATGACTCCATGGGGAGTCAACTGAGCCTGGCATATATCAAGTTGGGGCAGGACCAAAACCCTCCCCACTGCATCAAGCCTGAGCAAGGTATCCCACCATAGTGAATGGGCTCCAAAATGCCAGTTTATGCAGCAGGGATAAATCCTGGTCCCACTGCCAGGGGTCCCACAAACTGCCCAAGCCACACAACTGTCATCCACATTCAAAGGGCTCCCTAGTTGTCAGTCCAGAGTTCATGAGCTCCCACTATCACAGGCCAGCTGTCTCTGCGGGTTTCCCCATCATGATCTTGCCCCCACCTCTTGCTCCTATTAATCCCTTCTTCTCCCTCTCTTTGACTGGATACCGGGAGCTCAGTCAAGATGTCTCTTCCATTGCTTTCCCTCTCTGTCCCTCCCCCAACGCGACCATCCTGTTCCCTCATGTTCTCCATTACTGCCCCCCACCTCAGTATACCCAGGAGATCTGGTCTACTTCCCTTTCCTAGGGTGGTCCATGCATGTCCCTCTTAGGGTCCTCCTTGTTCCTAGCATCTCTGGGGCGGTGAATTGTGGCCTGGTTAGAGGAAGTACAAGTTACATCTCCATTGGTCTAACACTATCCAGTTAAACTCAAATGATTAAAAGTTCCTCAACAATGATCTGGTGTAGAAAAAAAAGCAAAACCAACACAGCCACTCCAATGCAGAGATAAAAGTCCTGTTAGTTCAACATTTATTAATGAGATTCAACTCTGTTGACCAATGTCAAACACTAGAAAAATGAGTCATCGTATACATGTTTACAGAGCAAAATATTTCTCATCAATTCCTAAGATTTATCTCACAAAGTATGGCATAAAACAATCACAGTATTAAGTATTATTCAAGTAAAATTCTGTTTTTAAATAGCTGCATATGGGTAATTAAAACACTGGGACCCAGCCTCCAGAGAGGCAAGCTCAAGGGGCCCAATTTGAGGGTTGTGACATCACCAAATAGGCTTGTTTACATTGTGCGTCTGATCTTTATTTTCCCCGAGTCCAAAAGAACAAAGATACAGAAGAGAAACAAGCGCTTTCTATGGGGTTATGTTATGTTTAAAAGCCCTCGAATGGACAAAGACACGGATGGACTTTGGCACCTTCAGTAGGCCCCACGAGCTGGAGGAAGTAAGTGCTTTTCAAGGGGACAGGCTTATCAGGCGAACTGGTAACAGATGCCCAGGAAATGTGCCTTCTTCACAGGAGGCGTTCAATAGGATGGAATAATGTCTCACAAACACAGAGGCCAGTGTCTCCCTCTTGGTAGAGATGAGGGGTTGTAAATGTTTTAGCAGCTTTGCAGTAAACCCTTCCGGTTCCGCAGGCCATACTGTCTCAGCAAAGCTACTCAGGCGCAGGGCACTGTGGCCGTGTTCACCCACAGACACTGGAGTTCCATGAACTAGCTCTAACCCACCCCAATCCATCTGAATATAGAAAATACTTTATATTCACGAGTTACACAAAAGCAGGTGGCGGTAGGATTTGGCGCACAGGTTGTGCTTCATCAGCACTTGTCCTTACATGTCTGTAGATACACCTTCAAAATTCCACCTATCACATACCTTAGCGAACAATGACAAACGTCCATTCAGAAACACTTCTTAGCTGGGTAGTATATTTATGTGTGTGTAATTCCAGCACAAGAAGCAGGGGCAAGCGTTTCAAGGAGAGCTTGGACTACATGAACCCAAACTCAATGGAAACCACTAAAAATTAAAAAACAACAGAAAAACAACAACAACAACAAAAAACTACTGACTTGGTGATATGCGCATAGTCTCAGCCATTTGAGAGACTAAGGCAGGAGGATCATTTGAGCCCAGGAGCCAACAAGAGCTCCTGTGTGTGTGTATATATATACACACACACACACATATATATATATATATCCCCAAATATTGTCTTCCCGCAACCCCAAACCATTTTTCTAAGTAAGATCTTCTTTTGTCCATTTATTTTCAGTGGTGATGATTAGTTCCATAACCTCCAGCATGCTAAGCACATACTTTACCACCAGTAAATGCTCCCAATATTTTAATTACAAAAACTGATTACATTTGTTGTAACAAATGTGCGTGCCAGTGATATACCCAGTGAGTCATATATTCACAAAAACATAAAAACTTGCCACACAGCCCAAGAACCCACGGGCTGACACTGTTTACAGTGTGTTTGAAGTTACTCCCTATTCCTAGCTCAGCATGTGGGTCCATCGTCTACAAAATAGCAGCAGAGCATTTGGATTAACTGAAAAACGGTGGACACGAATCTTAAGAAATTAGAAATATTAGGACTGTTCTCAGAGGACTGGGGTTCACTTCCCAGCACCCACATGGTGGCTTACACCCATCTGTAACTCCAGTTCTAGGTGATCTGACCTCTGAGGGCACCAGCACGCATGTGCACAGACATCCAATGCAGGCAAAACACCCACATCCATTAAAAAATTTTAGTTAGGAAATGCAATAGAAACCAACTACACTCGACACAAGAGGAGGACAGAAACAGACTGAACGTGCTGAGCTGTGTGGCTCTTGCCACTTCTGTGGGCTCCTAAGAGGCAGATTTCTACTTTTTGCACACGGGGACCTTTAAAACCACGAATTCCTTATTTGAAGCTCCCAGTGGCTTGGGACTTGGGAGTGTTTAGGAATCACTGCAGCTGGCTCTGCTATCATCCACGCTAGCATCTCAGAGCGTCCACAGAGTGTGAGTGGGCTCTCTACACAGGGAGGGGCAAGGAGCAGGGAGCTCCATTACTGCTTATTGGGAATAAACCGGTTTTAGATAGATGTCTACAAGAACTTTTTCTCGTTTAAATTGTTTCAAAGTGAGACCAACACCAGTTACAGGGAGTTTTGGTGTGTGTGTGTCTGTGTCGTTAATTTGTGTGTGTGCATGCCTCTGATGTACTTGTTGAGGTCAGAGGACAACTGTGTGGAGCTGGTTCTCTCTTCCCATCTTTACACAGGCTTCAGAGATGGAACTCAGGTAGGTCACCGGGCTTGTCTAGCAAAGCCTTTACCCACTAAGCTATCTTGCAGGTCCGTGTGTGTGTGTGTGTGTGTGTGTGTGTGTGTGTGTGTTGTTTTTGAATCATGAACCATAAATGCTTTTACTAGGGCAAAGGTGCCTGGGATTCATGGCCTCAGCTCTCTTCCACAGGGGACTGGCAGCTGTGGGTATCGTTTTTCACAGTGATGAAAGCGCTTTGCTCTTCTGGAAGTTTAGCAGCAGCTGTACCCAGGGACAGAAATCCCAGCTCAGATGTAGGCAGGTGATCAGGTGGGCACCTGATTTCCTCCCTCGACAAAGCCACCACTCGAGCTCAAGGTGGGTGGTGCTGCTCATAATCAAAAGGGTTCCTGTGCTTAAGCTGCATTTTCAGGCTCACAATGCCCTTTAAGCCAAGCACGATGCTCTACAAGCAGAACATGGTATCCTAAACAGCACGCCCAGGCAAGAGAACTGCACAGTGCAGGCCTGTCAGGAAACTGAGGCAGTTCAATAAAAAGCTCAAGGCCAGCCTGTATAACAAACCAAGACCCTGTCTCAAATATTAAAATGAAAACAAAAACAAACAAACCCACTGGGGACAGTCCAGTGCTAGCATGCATGAGGCCATTGACTCAACACTCAGCACTGGAAAAGAGACAAAAGCCACGCTTTTCATCCTACCAAACCACCTCTGATGATTTTTGCCCCCAGCTTGGTTTGATTTTCTAAGAGAAATAAAATGAAGCATAAGCTGTAAGTTTAGGGCAACGGAGACTTCCATTTACCCAGGGGTGGAAGAGCGAGCCTGTAACCCCAGCACTTGGGAGGCTGAAACAGGAGAATTGTGAGTGTGAAGCCAGCCTACGCTACTTAGCAAGACCCCGTCTCGTCAAACCAAACCAAATGAAGATGAACCAAAACGGAACAAAACCAAACAAATCCTGCTCCCAGCAACTAAAAACAAAAACAAAAATAAAACAGCCCAGAGCTGGGTGGTGGTGGTTAATGCCTTAAATCTCAGCACTCAGGAAGCAGAGGCAGGTGGATCTCTTGAGTTCAGGGCCAGCTTGGTCTACAGAGCAAGCTCCAGGACAGCCAGGACAGCCAGGACAGAGAAACCCTATCTCACAAAAGAAAAAAAAAAGACGAAGAAAAGCTGCTCAGAAACAAAGAGAAACACCCCCTCATTCCATGTAGTACAGGCAATCCTGTGCCATTTAGAAAGAAGTCTTAGGAAATCAAAGCCTTTGTCACACCCCTCTGAACAGGCAGCTGTTCATTACCAAGCTGACAGATGCCCAGGCCTGGATGTGAACCACCCCCATCCAAATGTCGATCACCCCAGCATTTCTTTCCCAGTATTCTGGGCCCAAGCTGGGCAGGCGCCTGGGGATGGCGGAGCCACTGCCCACACAGTGACTACACTTTGTGAGGGGCAGGGACACATGAGCACTCACACTGGACCGTGTCCCGAGGCAGTGGGGTTGTGCTGGAGCCCACAGCACAGGTATATGGCATCCATTGGTCCCCAGTTATATAAGGGCAGGATGAGAATTTACATCAAAGATGATGAGGACTGGTTGAATTTTTTAAAATTCATACCTCTGATAACTTACTTGTTTATTTTAAAAAGCAGATGGCAGGTCCCTACAGATCTAGGTGGTTTTATTATTTTTTTGGAGAAGCGAAGAGCCCTACAAGCCTCCATAACACACATATTTGACCTCTAGATACTCGTCAATGCCATACTTGGACCCTTCTCGCCCAAGGCCAGACTGCTTCACCCCACCGAAGGGACACTCCACTGAAGAGATCAGTCCGTCATTCACACCGACCATGCCCACCTCCAGCTGCTCCGCCACTCTCCAGATCTGGGCTGGGTCTTGAGAGTAAAAGTACCCTAGCAGGAGAACAAGAACACAGACAGCATGAGGAATTCTTGTGAAGGTCGCATGCGCTTGCCTTTGAGGATGCCCGGTCACATGGGCCTAGGTTCTCCTGCTTGCAAGTAAAGCCTCAGGCTGATTTTGTCCACATTTTCATCCTAAAAACCTTGGGCACCATACTGAGCTTCTGTTTCTCTCTTGCTGGGGTTCTCCCCGCTCCCACCAGGACTTTGTAACCAGGAACTTCTGTGCTCTTGGTTCCTGCCCTTCAGTCCATCCTCCTCTAGATGTCTGGACATGTTTGTTCAGACCTTGAGGTCAGTCCTAGCTGTCTATAAAAGAGACACGTTTCTTAGTGGACAGTCAACCCTGCCCCCTAGAGTGGCTTCAGTTAGCGGCTTACTCCTGACTCCGTCTCCAAACTCATCCATCTAGTTCAGGGTCATCTCACTCATTATCAGACTGCACCTGAACTTGCTTGGGCTCCTCTGCCTCAATGTCCTTAATCTCTGCAAAGTCAGCATCTTACTATCACTTAGGACCCAAGGCAAGGCATGACTTCCTCCACATCACTCCACTGAGAAAGGAAGAAGGAAGTGTTGATCTTGAACTCGCAGAAGTCGTGGGCTACACGTTGCTCCATCATTAGGACAACTATGTGATAGCACATATTCAGCTCCCTAGCATGCTTGTCCTCCTCTCCTTCTAAACAGCTTGCATTATACCCTCGAGAGTCTCTAGAGGGCTACAGCTGTATCTTATTTGTGTCTCTACACTTGATTTTAGCCAAAAGGCCAGAAGATTATATATTATAGCTCTGTACCCCACAGTTCAGTATTTGTACCCAGGGCCAATATGTCTATTTTCTCAGTATCATCTCCAAACAGTTAGAACAGCAGCCACCTAGTGATCACACACACACACACACACACACACACACACACACACACACACTTCTCATCTCTAGATACTGAGCAAGACTCTGCTGATTGGACTTCTTCAGGATATCAAGGCCAGGCAAATGTGAGAAAAAGCACTGAGCGTTTGTTATGCCTCTGGGAAACTAACTACGTAGGACTCTCCACCAAGAACAAGCTGCACCCTCCCCAGTGTCTCCGACTCTCAGCTCTAGCCAGAACGCTCTACATGTTTGTCATGAGACATGGGAGAAAGAAACGTGTTGGCACAAGGCCACACTTGCCACTTGTAAAGAAACAAACCATACACAGTGTGGAAGTTTGCTAGGCAAGGTGGTGAATGCCTTTAATCCCAGCACTCTGAGACAGAAGCAGGTAGATTTCTGAAGTTCAAAGTCAAGTCTGGTCTACATGAAGTCCAGGCAACCCAGGGTTACATAGCAAGACCTTGTCTCAAAAATAGAAGAACACACACACACAAACTCAAGAGTAATGCTTAAAAGGCAGAACCTGGCATTTACTTGAGGAAATGACTATGGTGGCTGGAGACAGACACCCACCTGCTAATCCAACATCAGCTGCATTTGCAATGGCAACGGCCTCTTCTTCTTTGTCAAACCTGCCAGAGTTAAGGTAGGTCATAAGCAAGACTGTAAGGTGGAGAATAAAGACAGTCAGCATTATTTTCTCGAATTCATTTCCTAAATAACAACGAGAAGGAGATCAGAGTTGCAAAGTGATCCAAGGGGGAGATTCCATGAATGGAGTACAAATGCAGACATGGCAGCTAGTCTCCTCAAAGTGACCCACTTCTGCTAAGAGAAAGGGAAAGACAGACCAACTTGGCAGAGGCACTGTTAAAATCTTTTAAGAAAAGGACTAAGGACTACTGGGTACTAGTACACACACACACACACACACACACACACATACACACACACACACACATACACACACACATACACACACATACACACACACATACACACACATACACACACACACATACACACACATACACACACATACACACACACATACACACACACACATACACACACACATACACACACATACACACATACACATACACACACACATACACATACACACACACATACACACACACACATACACACACACACACACACACACACACAAAAGACTACTGGGTGCTGGAGTGCTGGCTTGCAAGGGTACTTGTTACTCTCGCAGAGGACCTGGCGTTGATTCCCAGTACCCACATGGTCCCAGAGATCTGACGCTCGCTTCTGAGCCCTTCCAGGCCCTGGATCTAAATAGAGAAGTATTTCCAGAGCACTGACCTGAGAATTATCCAGGGAAACTATTATTTAATTGGTAAGGTGGGATAAAAGATCACACGAGCTCAGAGTTCATTTCCCACAGACTGCTAGGATAGAGCCTGGAAGGGACGCTCCATCAGGGAAAAAGTACATTTAGAGGTAACAAGAAACTAAATGAAGGAATCTGATGAATTTTGTGCTTGAAATTGGGTATGGTGTACGCCTATTATCTCAACACCCAGGAGGCTAAGGCAAGAAGGTTGAGAGCCTAAGGCAAGCCTGGGTTACAAAGTCAAAACTGGGACTAGGGACTTGGGAGGTATTGGCTCTGTTGGTGAAGTGCTGAGTTTGACCCCCAGAACCCACGTGAAAACCCAGTCGTGGTGGCCTGTGCTTGTAATCCCAGGTTTGGGGAGACACAGAAGGATTCCTGGAATTGCTAGCTAACCAGTCTGCTCTAACTGGGGAGCCCCAGGTTACAGTGAGGGGACCCTATCTAAATATCGAAGGTGGATAGCTCCCAAGAAACAGCACCCAGGGCTGACCCCCAGCCACAAAAATCAAAACCAAAATATCATAAACTCAACTGTGCTCTTCAACAGATACGGCGCAGCTCCGACTGCGCGGCTCAGTCCTCCCGCCCCACCCTTGAAACAGCCGCACAGGAACTGCTCTCAGATCAGCTCCCCCTTTCCAGTCTCCTCCCTTCCACTATGGAGGACCGTACTTGAGAACTGGCGCCAGCGGCCCAAAGGTCTCTTCAGTGATGCAGAGCATGTCCCTACTGACATTGCTGAGCAAGGTGGGCTCGAAGAAATTTCCCCCGCTTTGGTGTCGCTTCCCGCCTGTCACAACGGTGGCTCCTTTGGCAACCGCGTCATTCACATGCTTCTCTACCTGTGAGACGAGAAGAAGGGCTCTAGGTAAGGCCGCATGAGGACATTTTCTAACTTGTACGATCTCTTAAAATGTTAAACAGCAAAAACTGTATATTAGCTTTGCCTTTACTGCAAACTGGGCTAGTTGTACTTCCTTAGGTTTGCTTGTTCACTTTTATCTGGGTTGAAGGGATGTTTAGATACATTGCTAATACAAAGGCATTGCTTACCTACGATAGATGTTCTGTCTCAGAAATGTGCCCTTAGCTAATTTCACTATTGAATAAACATCATACAGTGTTTTGATACAAACCCAGACCGTCTAGCACACTACATACCTAGTCTATATGCTGTGTTGTGTACAGGATAGATATGGTATAGCCTATCGCTCCAAAGGCAAGGATGAACAGAACAACTCAAGATCAAATCACACCTAAGAGAAAGCCCATAGTCAAAAGGTATTACTGAGAATCTGTAGAGATAGCTCAGTGGTTAAGAGCACTCGCTGCTCTTTCAGAAGGCTCTTGGCTCCTAGCACCTACGTTGAGTAGTTTACAACTGCCTGTGAGCTCGCAAAAGTGGTGAGAGCTCTTGACCTCTAAGCCACCCCTCTGGCTCCTTCACTTTCTGGCTCTTAGAAAGATAAAAAAAAAACCCAGTAGAACAAAACATGTGATATAAAAGCAGAGTGAGGACTACTTGGGAGAAAGGAATGAACAAGAAGGGAGCTGGGAGGAGGGGAGTCAGGGAGGAGGTAAGAATGAAGTATAATGAAATATATGTATGAAAACGCCAGGATGAAACCCTTAATTTTAATGATAACTTAGACAAATTAAAATAGCTAAAACCAGGGCTGGTAAGGTGGCCCGGCAGGTAAATGTGCTCACTGTCAACCCTGAGAACCTGAGTTCTGTCCCTGGGACCCACACAGTGGAAGAGAGAAGGACTCTAGCAATTTGTCCTTTGACATCTACAGCTATGATGTGGCATCCATGTGCCCTGCTTCCCCATACTCACGCTCAGACACACACTGAGTCAATAAATGTAATAAAAATGAAGCTAAAACTAAACTAACTCTAGTGTGACATAGAGAAACCTCACCTTGCCGGTCACCCAAACTGTGATGTTCAACAAACAGTTACTTCCTAAAAGTGGCTTCCCTCTGTCATCACTTAGTGGGGCGCCTGGGACTCTCTGTGCCTTTTCTGGGTGCCTTCGTTAGAATTCTTCTGGAAGGAAGGGCATCAGGGGAAAAACTTTCTATGACAGAAAACTTAGGGAGGGCAGAAGACCTAATGGGCCTAATGTCAGTTCTCGGATAGAGGCGGAAAGTGCATGTCCAGACACCACCATCCAATTCTACACATTGGTAGTGGTACAAATTCTTTTTTGCTTTTTTAAAAATCTTTGTGCATTTTTCCCATTATTTCCAAAACAGCCTTGCCGGGGACCTTATGAATATGCCTTTATTTAACTTTTGATACTGACATCTTTTGATATTGATATCACAAAAGTTCCTTAAAGCAGGTAGTAAGACCAACTCACCTTTTCTACTGCCTTTTCATTAATTAATGGGCCCTGAGTTATTCCTTCCTCGAATCCGTTACCCACACGCAGGCTTTTCTGCATTGCCTCTGCAAACTTCTTTACAAAGGAATCATAGATACCTCGCTGTACCAAGAATCTGTTTGCGCAAACACAAGTCTAGACAGAAGACAAAACAAACCCACAGTTAGTTTTTCAGAATCGACTGACCCAAGAAACGTAAGATGACCCTTTCTGAAATGGTTCTCACGAGTCTAATCTTCTACGTTGTCCCCAGGTGGGAAATAAACACACCGAGTGAACATACCTGCCCAGGTCTTCCCATAGCTACCACACAGCTGGAGCTAAACATATAAGCGAGAATAAACAGCTGTGTGAACAAAACCCAGATAACTAGAAAACAAGCTATTCACCACACTCTTAGAAAGCAGATGGGGTAAAAGGACAAAGGTCGTAATGTTTCTGATAGACAGGGATGCAGCAGCAGCAAGCACAGGCTAGAAGTAATGGGGTCAAACAATAACACATACCCTCCAGCTCAATCCTTCCAAGTGTTCTGCTGAAACTGTGATTTCAAAAACTGATACAAGGCCTTTCTTTTGGGGCCAGAGAGATGGCTCAGCAGTTATTACTGCTCTTGTAGGAGGACCTCCCAGCACCCATGTTGGCCAGTTCAACTGCCTGTAATTCAAAGTCTACAGGATCTGATGCCCTCTTCTGGTCACACGTGGACACACATTTATACACATAATTAAAAATAATTATAATAAAAAGGACTGGGGATAAAGTTTTGTGGTAGATTGCTTGTCTGGTATACATAGGCCATGGGTTCTATTCCCAGCATCGCCAAAAAACAACAAAAGAGACAAACAAACAAAAAAAACTGAACCCGGAAAGATGGTTCAGAGGTTAGGAGTATTCGAAAGGATCCAGGTTCAGTTCCTGCACCCACATGGAAGCTCACTACAGCTCAGATATCCTCTTCTGGCCTCTGGGGACACTGGACACACACACAGTGTACATACATGCATGCAAGTAAACATTTACACTTATAAAACAAAAAATTAATCTTTTTTGAAAGCTCATAAATTTGCAACTTTAGAAAGTTTATTGGCTGAATATTTGTGAATAAAAAAATAAAATCTCTCTTTTTTAAAATGCCATCTTCTATGTTGGGTTAAATTATTGAGACTCTGGCTTATTATCTGTCCAAGAAGACTTCATATTTTAAAATGATAAAACATAACTATACTATAGGAAATGTAGTTATCATTGATAAATTGGTTTTTCCTTATTGCATTTTTCTAGAAGAAATAAGTACACATATAACTGTATCATTTGTGTTTTTATTGGTTTAACACAGTTTAACCATTGCTTTGTAGTAAAACTCTGCTGACATTTTGTGTTTACTTTAAAAAAGTTCTAATTCTGTAAAAGAACAACTAATAAACAACAACAAAAACTTTTTAGGTGATGTGAAAAGGGAAACTGAATTACCAAAGGAAGAAAAGCTATACAGAATAGTTTGCACCACCAGCTTCCCTTTCCACACATAAGCCCTTGAGGCTATTTCTCTCAGGAAAGCATTTAAACAGCTCACTGGGCTGGACATAGCAGCACAAGTCTTTTAATTCCAGGAGGGGTGAGTTTCCCAGATAACCTGTGCTATAGAGCAAGTTCAGGGCCAGGCTGGGATACAACAGGGAGTTCCTGTCTGTTCAGAAAATAATAACCAGTGATCTTTGACTTGCTGGTTGTACTTTTAAGAGTATGATTTAAGAGTATGGTTGGCTGTCCAAGAGTATGTCTTAAGCAGCCAGCTTCTGGCGGTGGCTTGAGCAACAGCTTGGAAATGAGCCCCTTGACTCCCAGCTCTGGGACTCTGAGGATGATCCAACCACTCATTCTTTTTGCTTTCAGCTCCTAGGTTTATACCAGAAGTCTTGAAGGTACCTGTCAAATGTGACATCCAGGATTTCCTAGGAAAGCGTAAGCTCCCCCATTTCCTCAAGACAACTAAGTAGGGTACCAGACACCCTCCTCTGGCTTCTGCTCATTCTCAGAAGGGCCATGGACCCACACACATGTGTATTCATACACATACATCACACACATGTACATAAATAAAGATATGCAATTCTCGAAACACTCTGAAGCAACAGACTATGTCTTACATCTCTTTGGACACTTGAAGCCTAACTAGTGCCTGAGAGAAACTACTTATCAAATGTTTGCTCACAGAACGAGTGCATGAATTAACAAAGGAACCAGGGAGAGAGGCAAGACCATGGTGGTGCTAGGGTCTTTGTTAAACACATACCTTATCCCAGCCCTGAAACATTCTGCATGACTCACCTGCCCAGCATTCCTAAACTTAGATGCCATTGCTCCCGCGACAGCCTGGTCCACATTGGCACTGTCGAAGACAATGAATGGGGCGAGGCCGCCCAGCTCCATGGAGACACGTTTCACAGAATTTGCTGCATGGTGCAGCAGGATCTGTAGGGTGCAGCGGGAGAACACTGTGAGCATCCAGATCAACTTACAGGGTGTTACTGTTTGCCTAGAAAGTACCTTTCTCCCTGATATCTAAAGCCTGGTCACCACCTGGTGACCCCACTGAGAGGTGATTAGATAGGAGGAGTTCATAGCTGAGTGCGCCGTTCCTAGGGGCTGGGGTCGAGCTCAGGAAGGAGGTCATGGGCAAATGTGTTTGGAGGCTGTATCTGGTCCTGGACTTTCCTCTCTCTTTGCATCCTGGTCACCACAAAGTGAGCGGCTCTTCTCCATCAGTGCCTCCTGTCATGATGCTTCTGCCTCATTGTAGGGCTAAGAGCAATGGAGCCAACTGACCATGGCCTGAAACCTCCAAAGCATCCCACAAATCATCCCTCCTCCTTTAAGTTATCTTTCTCATGTATTTTGTAAGAATAGGAAACTAACTAAGGCTGCTAAACCTTTTTAAAAACAAAACAAAACAAAATTGCTTTTAAAAATCGTAAAACAAATTGGGTAATTTGTTTTACAGAATTACCCCAATAATGAAAAATTTAAGGTGTGTGCAGGGTCACCTTGCTTTACATATCATTTTGTATAAGAAAATGGAGACATGAGAATATGTTACTTTATAATTTATAATATTTTCTAATATATGTATTCTTTGAGAGTTCCATACATGAATAAAATGTATTCTGGAGAATACAGACTCTTATCTCATTAGACTTATTTTAAAAAGACTCCACCAGGATGGTAGTAGGAAACTAAAAGCAATTATTTACAGACTCCGAGGAAGGAGTCAGTGATGCTATGAGCTGGGACTGCCAAAGGTAAACAACGCCAACACTGTCTTGAGTTTTGAACCCTAATACCAATTCAAAAATTATATGACAAGCCAGTGTGGTGGTACATTCCTGTAGTACCAGCACTGGGAGACAGAGACAAGTGGGTTTCTGTGAGTTCAAGGCCAGTCTGGTCTACATAGCAAGTACCTGGGCAGTCAGGGCTATATAGACCCTGTATCTAATAAAACAAAACAAAAACATAAAATGGTAATTTCATACTCTATAAGTAGAAAGCATTAGAACAACACTTGTTTGACTCTGACATCACATACCTTTCCTGTTGTTGTTGAGCCAGTAAAGGAAATCTTGGACACTAGCGGATCGGTGCATAGCGCCTCTCCCACTTCCTTGGCCTTGATTCTAGAGCAGGGAAGGACATTATAGACCCCTGGAGGAATTCCTGCCTGGTTTGCAAGCTTTAAAGAGAAATAGCAAACACACTATAACACGGATTGAACTGGAAAGCAAAACAAACAGAATCAGAAATGAACATGGTTAGTCCAGAACACAATGTAAAATATAAGCTTGCTTTTGAATAGAATAAAAACATACTGAGGAGAACCAGACATGGTGGTGCATGTTTATAACCCCTACTCTTGGGTGGTAGAGGCAAGAAGATCGAAAACGAAAACGCAAGGTCATTCTCAGTTACGTAGTGAGTTCAAGGCCAGCCTGGTTATAGGAGACCCTGTGCTCCTAATATATATATTACGGACCAGATAGACAGCTCAGTGATTATAACAGGTACAGCTGTTTTAGTCCCAGTCACCTATAGCTTACCACCCTCCAGCTCCAGAGTATCCAATGCCTTTTCTGATTTGGTTATAAACTTACACACACACACACATGCATACCACAGAGAGAGACAATGTAATAAAATTAATATATATTAATATCAGAACCAATAAAACCTTATTTCAGCTCCACATATACATGTATGTATGACTTGTGTATATATACACACAAACATACATGCGCTAAGAATAAACCCACAGTCTCATCCTACTAAGCACGACTCTACACTAAGTTACACTTCTAACCTCTTAAATAAATACACACGTATAAACTAAGTATCTTAAAAACACAGTATCTTAGGTAAGCGTTTTAGCGCCACCTCCTGTTCAGTCCACCAACAGACCTGGTTTTTTCATGACGTTTCTGAGACAAATCCCAAGGAACTTTTTGACTGACTGTAGACTTCAGGGTAGAATGTGGAAAGTGTGTTTAGAAAGAACACCAGAGCAGATTGGGGGCAAAACTGCTCGCTAGTTCCTTGTGGGGCATAATTGAAGAAGGGAGGCATAGACACAAGGAACTCAACAGAGATGAGGGCGGGGTGGGGAGATGAAGCGACCCCCTGACCCTAACCAACGTGGCAGGACCCTGGATGGAGTATGTCCTGAATCTGCTGTACTTCTGATTCAGAGTCTCTACTTGTAGCCCTCATTGACCTCAAAACGGTGGTCATCCTCCTGCCTCACCCTCACCAGTGCTGAGATTACTGAAGTAGCTTCCCCGGTTTTTAACCTTACTAGTCTCATAAAAACAATACCCATGAGGCCAATATCTTTGCATGTTAAATCAAAAAAATTTAAACAAACAAAAATAAAAAAACCAACTGGCAATGAGGTAGCAAGCACAGATTACAAGTGGGTGGAGGTGGCACCTTTAAGGATAAGACCTGTCTGTGTGAGGAGGGAGACTGAGGAATGGCCCTGGAGAGACCCCAAGGAATCCCACAGGTGCTCAAGGCGCCGAGGTACAGGTAGGCCACCCTGAGAAACAGAGACGCAGCCTGAATCGGTCAGGACAATTAGAGATGTGGTGAGAGGGTGCAATACAAAATTGAGAGTAAAAAAAAGAATTCAGAAATGATGACCAAGCTACAAGAACGTGAGAAAGGATGCATGTAATACATAAACCTTACCTTTTCTGCTTTCTGTCAGGGGGCCTAATGGGAGTTGGGGTCTAGTGGGAGGCCCACATCTGTTTTTGCTTTCGCTTTTGTTTATTGAGATAGAATCTTCCTAGGGTGTGCAGGCTGACATGGACCCTTGTGCCTCAGCCTCCTGAGCGGAGGAGAGACTTCAGGTGCAGTGGCTTAGTTACTGGTCTTTAGGTCACTGGAGGTTTGCTCCCTGTGATGACTGAACTCCATTTTTGATGTGATTGCACACAGGATAACCTCAGAGAGGTTCCGCTGAGCACAGAAGACACCCCCCGCTGTGAGCTGGGGGCAGCAGCTGAGCACCAGCATCTGTCCCACTGTGCCTCACGACAGCAGACACACTTCAGCCACCGTGGTCCTGCCGACACGACTTCTGGGCCGCCGTGGACTGCATCCCCAGAGGCCAAAGTCAGAGAATTTTGGGACTTGTTTTTAGTTTGAGATCATTGTGCTTCTAGCTCAAACAAAGGTCCCACCTAGTTGTGCAGCAGAGTTCTGCTCTCTCAGGGCTACTGTAAACAGGTGTGGCTAGTTGCCAGACCTCGTGCTCCTGAAATAGGAAGTAGTTGGTTCACATCTAAAACAAAAGTCTAAGGAACCAACGAGGTTCTTATTCCCTTTATGGAAATAACTTGGGATTCCAACCAGGGAGTGGTTTGTCTAGGGCGTGAGTCTAGGGCGTGAGCGATGAATGTAGCCCATGACTTTCAATTTGTATGTTAATGCAGTCTTTTGTTATACTCCTATCTTTTGAATTCAGGGGTATATTAAGCTGTTGAAAATTAAAACACTGACTAATTTTCAGTCCTCACTGAAATTCCCTCCCGATACTATCCTATGTGTTTCTGAGTTTTATTATTTTTGTTCGCGTCTTTGCATTCTTTACTATATTTCTAAATTCCCACGCCTCCACTCTAGAAGAAAGGTATTTTGTCGAGGCTGGCCCCCAGCCTCTTTCCAATCTTTTGTAAGATATTTGGTCACAGCAATGAGAAAAGTAGCTCAGACACAACCAAGTACTGGTGATGTGCAAAGCCCCGTCCTTTGCAGAACTAAGTCTGAAGAAGGAGGGAGAGGGAGAAGGCAGAGCAAGCGTGTAGTGGTTACAGTCCTGGACTCATAGAGCTGGAACTGTTTTGTTACTGCTATTGGTAACTGTTTCTGTGGTACCGGGAACTGAACCCGTGGCCTCATGTTTGCTAAGCAAGCACTCTACCACTGAGCTATATCTCCAGCTCTGGCCTTCACATTTTATTTCGAGATATGGCCATCACTATCACTAATTGCTTTTCCCAACAAGAAGCGGTTTGAGGGGGGTAGGTTTATCTTGGCTATGGTTGAAGATGAGATGCAGACCACCATGGCAGGGAGGGCATGGGTGCAAGAGTGTGGGTAACACTAAGTCCACAGAAACAGAGAACAGAAGACAGGAAGTGGGACCAGGCTAAAAAACCTTGAGGACCACAGCCAGCGACACATTTCCTCCATCGATGGCCTCCTTCCTAAAGGCCCCACAACCTTCTAAAGTAGCTCCACCAGTTTGGGACCATGAGTTCAAACACATGAACCGGTTGGGGGATACTTTCATCCGAATAACCACAGTATCTCTCTAAGTTGCCCAGGCTAGCCCTAACCTTTGGAATTTCCTGCCCCAGCCTCCTGAATAACTGGGATATGAGGCTCATACCACTAGACCGGTGAAATCTAGTTCTTATGTGAATTCTTCGGATGGCTGTAGAAGCCCAGTAAATATGAAAGTTGATTGACAAAAGAAAAGCATAAAAGTTATAGCAAATTTATATGAGTACAGCGACTGTCAGAAGCCAGTAACTTCTGAAAAAGTTACGGCTGTCGGGTATGCGCATGCTCTTCAGACAAAGAACAGTAAATGTGTGAGGGAATGCAGGACGTGTGGATCTCTGGATAGGACAGAGTGTTTTAGGAATGTTATAGAGAGACAACTGGGGGTTGGAGGGCTACAAAAACTCAAACAGTTCTTTCACAGTCTGATTACTCTGGCTCGCTACAGTCTCATGCTCTAGTCTCTTGAGACCCTGAGGTTTTCCAGGATGTGAAGCGCTCCCTCCAAAAAGCACCTTTCTGGCTTGTTACATATACAAAAGTCAGGCTGGATGGCTCTTCGTGAAAGAACATTTTCTGCATCTCGAAGTAACTGATATGCTAAGGGGATCCCTCTTGGGTGACATGTCCCTGCACTCCTTCATTAACAGCAGGGGAGGCTGAGTACATGCTAGATTCTTTCCCCATTTCTGTAAGTGTAGAGCAGAAAGACATGAAGCGGGCTGGCAAGGTGCTCAGAGGGTAAAGTGCTGCTGTGTAAGCCTGGAGACCTAAGTCAGAGCCCACGTAAGGGTGGAAGGAGAGGACGGACCCCACAGAGCTGTCCTCTGACTTCCACATGAGTGCCGTAGCATGTGTGTCTGCCCTCCTCATCATATATGTATACACAGTAATAATGCACAATAGAGTATTTTAAAAATTCATGAGGGAGCAAGTGTCACAGGAGCATCTGGGGAAGAGTGTTCCAGAAGAAAAAGCTTGTCCAATAACTCAGTTGAGGGTGAGGCTGGCAGGATATGAGCAGTAGCAGGAGCCAGAGGGACTTAAACAGAAGAATGAAGGCGCTCAAGTGAAGACATGTTTGGAAGGTGGCATAGACCCCTGCAACCAATCTGTATTTTACTCCAAGTGACATGTGAAGCCACCTGAGAGGCTTACGCAGAAAAATAAAGATTCAACTTAATACAGACTGAACTAGGGCCAGGAGTAATGAATAAGAAAGCTTGGTGCTGGAGAGGTGGCTCAGTGGCTCAGAGCACTGGCTGCTTCCCCTGAGGATCTAGATTAGGTTCTAAGCACCCAGATCAGGGGGCTAGGAAGCACCTGAAACTCCAGCTCCAGGGTAGCCGACACCCTCTTCTGGCCTCTGCAGACACTGTGTGAACATGGCATACACTCACACAGAATATAAACATACACATAAAAAAATTTAAAAACAGCAAAAAAAAAAACCAAACAATTTTAAAAGATACACACACACACACACATGCACGTGCGTGCACGCACACACACACACATACACACACACACATATATAGACAGACAGAGAGAGAGAGAGAGAAAGAGAGAGAAAGCTGGGTGGTGGTGGTGGTGGTGGTACATGCCTTTCATCCAGCAGAGGCAGGTGAATCTCTGAGTTCAAGGCTAGCCTGCTCTACAGAGTAAGTTCCAGAAAGCCTGCATCAAAAAATAAATAAATAAATAAAATAAAATTTAAAAAAAGTTTAAAAAGTACAAGAAAGCTCCTAAATGTGAGAAACACCCACATTTTAAGCGCAATGAAAAAATGATGATGAATCAACATCACCTTCAGGGTATCAAGACGTGACCGACAGGAAGCTGACAATCTCCCCTCCTTTCCCCTTTTCTACTACAGAAAGCGGCCTGAGCTGTGGAGCAGCTGCTGGTGGACCCAGATGGATGCTCTGTGCGCAGCAGGAGACACGGCAGAGGAGGAAATGCCAGAAAGGCTTCTTCCTGCCCTGAGAAGCCTGCACCTGGGCCTCAGGTGGTGCTGCTCAGAGGGAAACTCACCTGTGCCAAGGCCAGGGCAGAGTAGGGCGTGTCTTCGGCAGGTTTCACCACCACAGTGCAGCCAGCTGCCAGGGCGGCCCCCACTTTCCGGGTGATCATGGCACTAGGAAAATTCCACTGGAAGAACAAAGGGAGGATGTGAGACTGCTCCAGGATTCAATAGGAGGCATGCCAGAGGCAGCCGTGATTCCATTGCACAACTGACTGGCAAACCTGTTTGCTGCTGTGCAGGCGGGCGAGCTCTCAGAACACCTGACCCTGGACAGTTGGAGGGACTCAGGGAGGTCAAAGTTCACAGAAGCAGGGCACAGTCTGGGAGTTTGATCCAGTACAAAACTATCTAGACCAATGTGTTCTGTGGGGGTCATATTTTGTAGGATGTAGAGTTTCTGTCACAACTTTGCATTTCTGCAGTTGCTCATAAAGATTGGCTCACAAATGGACCCCATGTGCACTAATAAAACTTTATTTATAAACACAGGAGCTGAGTTAGATTTGGTCTGAGGCTCTTTAAGTATTCATGATGTGACTTCCAAAATAGCTGATGACTTCCTTTCACACACATATTTATAGGAAATAGATATCTACAGAACTTTAATAATTTCACTTATTTATGTGTATGCATGTATATGTATGTTATATGTGTGTACGTGCCTAAGGAAGCCAGAAAAAGGCACAGGGTTCCCTGGAGCTGGAATTACAGGTAGTTGTGAGCTATCTGGTATGGGTGCTGGGAAGAAAACCTATCCTCTGGAAAAGAAGCCAGTGCTCCTAACCACTGAGTCATCTCTCCAGCTCCACAGTAATTTATTTTAACAAACTCTCCAGTAGCGTGTATTCTGTCTCTGGTATTGTTGTAAGCACTTTGAAATGCCAGTGACCTAAATCCTTCTGATACCTCAATGAGCACATTGTTATTATTATTCCCATTTACAGATTTGGGGAAACTGAGGCAGCAATATGATCACATGGCTGGCAATAGCAAACTTCAAGGCAGGCTTCATCAGTCCAGGAAGGACTGTTCTAAAACTATCTAAAACTGTTCTGAACAGGAGAGGCCAGCAGCCTTGAAACTAGCTGGCAGACCCTGGAGAGAAGTTGGCACCAGGCCCCTCCAGGAAGGGCTGGTGAGAGGACCCTGGTGCCCAGCAGTGTACTGCAAACCCACCTGGGCAGAGGCAGCAACTTAATTCACAGTTCTGGGACCTCTACAACCTGACCCTGTGATTGCCCACAGAAGAACAAATGTTTTGTTATTGATGATAATCATAAGGTAAACATATTTAATAATGGTACAAATAAAAAAGAGAAAATGTCCCCTTTGAAGTCCATTAAAAATGGCACAATTTCAAAGGTCTCTTCAGAGGAGCTCGGTAATACCGGGATGGAGTCTCTATGCCAAGTCAGAAAAGCCTCCGCAGGTCACCCTGTTTTTGAAGGCATCAGAAAACATGCACAGCCACTTAGGCCACTACATCCGGCACTGTCACAGAGAATGTGGAAACACACTCTACATCCAGGAAAGGAATCAGGAAACTAAGGACAGGTGGCAAAGCTACCCAGATGGCCACACCTGTCCACCAGGAAGAGGACGCTGCTTCCCTCCGCTCTACCCAGGCTCCCACCCTGGATTGTGCTGGTTTTGCTACGTACTGGTGTGATGATTGCGGCCACACCAATGGGCTGCTTGAGGACCAGCGCCCGTTTATCCTTGGCAGAGGTGTAGATGATGTCTCCATAAATACGACGGGCTTCCTCTGAGAACCATTCCAGGAATCCGGCAGAATACAGAATTTCTCCCTGGGCCTCTTTCAGTGGCTTTCCCTAAATCAAACCAGAAAACGTCATGAGCATGGCCTTCTAAAAAAGAAAAGAAAAAAGCACAGCTCTTTTTTTTTTTTCTTTTTTAAGTTATTCAAAGACGCAAGAAGAGGAAAAGTTTCCTATATCAAAGCTCAGAGGCTGCTGGAAAATGATTCCCTTTGGGGCAGTCTTAGGCTTGGAAAGATGCGGTAAGAACAGCTATTGGCTCACAGTAGGGGCGGGCAATGGAGCACTGCAAAGTCTAAGGCTTCCCAAACACTAAATTGAGGTGTGAAATCTCTTATTCTGTGAACAAACTACTGGTGCAATTTACTAACTTAAAAATAATGAGAAGAGACTTGCCGGGCAGTGGTGGCACACACTTTTAATCCCAGCACTTGGGAGACAGAGGTAAGCTGATCTCTGTGAGTTTGAGGCCAGCCTGGTCTACAAGAGCTAGTTCTGGGATAGGCTCCAAAGCTACAGAGAAACCCTGTCTCGAAAAACCAAAAATAAATAAATAAATAATGAGAAGAACAAAAAGGGACAAATAGAAGAAAATAACTGGGTCACAGCTGCTGAAGTTAACAACACAAGATCAAGCCACTCCAAATTCAAACACTGGATCCAGAACCCCCAGGGCTAGCTGAGGAGGTGGCTGGTAGGGGACGGGGAGTAATTTTTATCTGAAGGGATAGCCTCCTGTAGTTTATCTGAAGGGCTGGCCACTTGTAGGTTGCCCATACCCCAGAGCATGACCTCACACCATACTAATGACTAATACTAGCTGGACTAAGGTTACCAAAAGTAAACTTAAGAGACCATGGAATTGGGAGGGGACAAGCTGAACGATAAAAGGGGAGTTGGAGTGGGGGAAGAGAGAAACTGATAGAATACAAATATATTGTATACATGTATGAAGTTCTTAATAAATAAGAAATATTATATTTTTAAAAAATTGGCTCAGAGGCTAAGCGTACTGGCTACTACTCTTCCAGGGGACTTGGGTTTGATTCCCAGCATCCATATGGTGGCTCACAACCATCTGTAACTCGAGTTCTAGGAAATTTAAAGCCCTATCCCAGCCTCATTTACACTCACGTATGTACATATACATGAATTAATAATAGCATAAATCTTAAAAAATAAAAAAACTGGAGTATTTAAAAAATCATTGTTCATATAGCTCTAAATAAACCTATTTCCTAAATATTTATTTTTGTTATCTTTAACTGTGTGTGTGGTGGGGGAGCTGTGTGTGCACACAAGTGCAGGTGTCCATAGAGATAGAGGTCAGAGGCAATGGATCCCTTGGAGCTGGAATTATAGGCAGTTGTGAGCTGCGTGATGCGAGCTTGGGGCACTGAACTTAAGTCTTCTGCAAGAGTAGTAGTGCGCAGTCTCAATTGCTGAGCCATTTCTCCAGCCCCCAAATCTATTTTTTGCAAATTAGGAACAAATACACTAGAGCACAGAAATTTTGTTTCCGCAAATGTGTTTTCTGAGCACCATGATGACCCATCCTTTTGTCATCAAAGGACCGCATGTTCTTAAGCTGCAGGACACAAGTCGGGGAAGCCAGGAGCTTCCCCAAGGTCTGGCCTCACCACTCCAGGACTCCTCCTCATGCAGCAAGCTGGTGACTCACACTCTCGGCTGTTATGATCTTGGCAAGGTCGTCCTTATTTTGCATCATTAAGTCATACCATTTACGAAGTAGCAAACTCCTCTCCTGGAAAAGAAATGAGACGGAGAAGCAATGAGCTGGGAAGTGAAAAAAGACGACTCAACAACCGTCCCTCCTAAAGCGATACGTGGAGTCTTGCATTCAGTGGAACGGTTCACTCTGAGTGCCAACTTCACCAGGTTGCAGGCTGTCTCAATAGCTCATAAAACATTTTTGGGTTTGTTTGTGGGTGCTTTTCCCAGAAGAGATGCACATCTGGCAGGGAAAGGTAGTGATGGAAGAGGACAAACTGGAGAAGGTCATAATGACACACATGTATGAAAAGCCACCATAAAACCTAGGAGGAAGCTGAGGCAGGCAGGAGGATTGCTTTAACCCAGAATTTTGAGGCAAGCCTGTATCAGTTCAATGGTAAATATATATCCAAGGATGGTGTCATTCTAAAAACAAGATGTGGTCTGGGGGTGGTGGTCCATGTCCCTAATTCCAGTGCTCAGAAAGTAGAGATCTCTGTGAATTCAAGGCCAGCCTGGTCTACATTATGGGTTTGAGGGCAGTCAGGAATACACAGTGGGAAGGAAGTGTACTTGTGCGCGCGCGCGCGCATGTGTGTGTGTGTGTGTGTGTGTGTGTGTGTTTGGGCACTGACATCAGAACACATCCAGAAAACACAACCTAAACAGATACAGGGAAGCAGCCATCTATAAACCATGCAGAAAGATATGGAATAAATCTTGCCTTCACAGTCTTTAGAAGGAGCCGCTGCTAGAGCACTTTGGCTCTAGACTTTAGTTCTAAGATGGGATATTTTTGTTTGTGAAGCTCCCAGTTGGCAGCATCTTGTTATAGCAGCTGTAGAATGCTGGCAAAGATACTCCCCCCCATTTATGATGAAGTGATGTCCTAATAGCCCAATGGTAGCCAGCAACATCCTAGTGAAAATGCTCCTAACACAAGTGTGCGGCTGAGCAGCCTAGCGCAGCAGCATAGTAGAAAGTCAAGAACAAACTGCTTCAGCCTATAGCACAGTCATCTGGAAGCCATGGCTTGCTGCTGTGGCCTGGCATCAAAGGGGAGGGAGGCCCCCAGGATCAAAGACTCAATTCCACGGAATAGGCACTGCTCTTAAACTATCATAAAGTGGAAAATTCCTAACTTGACTAATAATTCAAGGATTGCCTGCTCACCCTAAACTATGGGGCTGTGTGGACTCACAAAACTCAAATAGGGTTTCAGCAAGGCAGAAGAACGGATGTCACGCGTAGTTCCCAGCCCGAATCCTTCACTAGAGCCACCTAGTCTCTTCATCCACAACACGACTCACATGTCCACATCAGAGGATCTTCAAAAGACTAAACGCATCACTTAGGAAGCGCCAGGAACAGCACGCAACCTTCAGTTAGCCACAGTCTCAGTCCCTGAACTTGTGACAGCTACCCGAGATGGCAAAGGGATGTGGCTAACGTGATCATGGATTGATCGCCAGGTGGGCGCAGTGCAGCTGTGAGAGTCATGGTAACAAGACAGAGTGCCAGAGTCAGAAGATGGGATGCAACCGAAAAATCAAATGGCAGAGGAACAACAGGTCATAGCCAGGGCATATGGGAAACTTCTAGAACCTGGAAAAGACAGGGGAGCAAATTGTGCCCTAGAGCTTCTAGGAGAAGCAAAAACATGCTAACTCAGACCTTTGATTTTCAAAACTCTGAGAGAAAACTCACACTGCCACAAGCTACTAAATTTGTACTAAATATATATTTCCACATATATATTTGTAGCACTCTAAGAAACTAGTACCTTATCATTTGAGGTTGACAATAAATATCAGTTCCCTTCTTCCTCTAGCTTGTTCCAGCTTGAATCAGAAGTGCTCCCCACAAGCTCATGTCTGTTCACCTGGTGAATAGATGGTGGCTCTGTCCTGGAACCTTGCGGACCTTTTAAGAGGTACAGATGGGCTGGAGGTGGTGTGTCACAGTGGAGTGGAGGGGGCTTGAGGGCTACTGCCTGGTCCCACTTCCGGTGCTGTTTTCTGCTTCCTGGTCTAGTGGCCACATGTGGAGATCCACCATGCGGTCCAGCCGTCATGGAGTGTGTTACTGTGCCTTTCCCACCACAATGACCCGAGTCCCCTGAATGGTGAGCCAAATTCAATTCTTCCTCCCTTAATCGCTTGCTGATGGCAAGGTGTGTGGACCAGTTCTACTGCTTCGGAGAAGGAAGGACAATGGAAGGCTGAGTGACAGACAGGCTCAGAGGCAGAAGTTACACACCAGCTAGACCTTTAAGGGCACGTTGTGGTGGTGGGAGGTGAGTGGGCTTCGGGAAGGGAAGTGAGTTCAGACTCGGAGAGAGACAGCTAGTACAGACTCAGGAAAGGAGGGCGAGTCTCATTTCCTGCTTCGTCCTCCACTGTTTCCTTTGGGCAACCTACAGAAGTTCTCCCTCAGTAATGTTCCAGCACCCAGGAATACCTTCTTCAAGAATGAAGTTCCCCTAAGAGGTTCCAGGCTCTTGTAATCTTGGAGCTGAAGTTTGGAAGATGAAGATGAAGTTTGGATGACAGGATGATGTTGCCGAATCAGAGGGGCCCCAACACCAGGTAGCTGGCTGCCAAACTGCCGACAGGACTAGAAAAGTTCCCTGTACCCTGCACAGTGACCCCACTGTGTGGTGCCCTTGATCTTCAAGAGCCACTGTGAGTCCAGGGATCAGGTGTGCCCCTCCTCCTCTCCCATCATCCCTGTAGCAGATTGCACTCAACACCTGAATGTGTGACTTTAGTATTTGCCCCTCTAGCCCAGGCTCACTTTCAAACTCTAGCTCACCTACCCAGTCCAGTCCCCTGCCTGGGGTGTCTACAGGACCGCTCATCATCTCAGAGGCAAGGGTCCTGAGCTGACCCCTGGCATCTCACCCAGCAGTGTTCCACTTACATCCTTCCCCAGCAGTGGAAATTAATCGTCATTGATTAATTTCACACACTTTATAATACATCCCTTAATAATACATCGGTGAAGACAGTCAGCTCTATGTTAAACTACGCCCTTTAAGGGACCATTTGACACTACTCTGCCTTGTTTGAGTCATCATAACCTCCCTCCTAAGTCAATCAATGTCCTCCGCCATGGTTTGAGTGTGTCGCTAACGCCCCAATTCCCGGTTCCTGTGCTGGAGGCTTAGTCTTCAAGGTGATGCTGCCAAAGTCAGCACCTACTCAGCGGTCTGAGTGTCCTTAGAAGGGATTAAAGTCGTACTCATGGAACATGAGTTAGATATGCTTTTAATATTTGGTTATTACCGTTCTTAAAGGGTGCGTATGTGCCATACAGCATACATGGAGGCCAGGGGACAACTCTGTGGAGTTGGTCCTCTTCTTCTCCTTTTCTGTGACTTCTGAGGGGCTGAACTCTGGTCACCAGATGTGTCCAGCAACCGCTGGACAGTAGTAGAACTATCCTGACGGCCCTGGAGTTAGTTTTCCCACCATGAGTTGCTATAGAAGAGAGCCCTGCCACTGAATCTTTGTCTCCAGACTTTTGTCTCAAGATATGATCAGGCATGTCCCTACCATGATGTCATCCACCATTAGGGTCTCTACACAGAGGCCAAATCCATGCGGACAAGTTAATATTGAACTTTGTGTGTGAATCAACAACTGGTTCAGCCTGTTATTCTAACTTCTTTTATTAGTTATAATTGTAGATTCAAATGGTAAACTTTTAAAAATTTTATCTATTTTTATGAATTCTTTGAGGATCTCCTATAGTATATTTTGATCATATTGTCCCAGACACACCAACTTTGTGTTCTCTATTTTTGTTTCTTCACCCATTGAGTCCAATTTGTTCTTTCCGTATATTCCTAGACGTGTGACCTTCCGCCGGGGTGTGGCTGCCTCACCAGCAGTAAAACTCTCAAAGAAACCTGACTCACCCCCTTCCAGCAGCTACCCAGTGCAATAGCTTCTTGGTTAGGGCTGGACATGAACGTGCCATCCCTGCTCTCTGCTGGGATGCGGTCTAGATTGCGCTGGCACAGGGCTTGTGTATGTGCTCACAACTGCTCTAAGTTTATCTGGGTAGCTGTCCTGTGTATTCGCTCACAACTGCTCTAAGTTTACCTGGGTAGCTGTCCTGCTGTATTCATCCTCCAGCTATGGCTTTTACAGTCTTTCTGCTGCCTCTGCTGAAATGGTCCCCGAGTTTTGGGAGGAGGGGGATGCAATACAGGGATGCAATGTAGATGTCCCAGATAGGGCTGAGCATCCCGTAGTCTTTTATTCTCTGTACCTTGGCCACTTGTCGGCCTCTATGTTGATCACCATCGACTGAACATAGAAGCTTCTCTGTTTAGTGTTGAAAGACGCATTAATCTATGGGTACAACACGAAGTCGTTAGGAATCAGTTTAATACTATGTCCTTTTAGCAGGATAACAGAAGTCGGTTCTCCCAGAGGTTCTTGGCCTGACAATGACACCAGGTATGAGTTTCATCTTGCAGTGTGGGACTTAAATTCAATCAGAAAGTGGTTGGCTATGCCCATAATATTCCTGCCACTACTTGTACACGGGCATGTCTTGCCAGACCAGTTGTTATTGTAGCTTACAGGTTTCTGTAGCTCAATTCTAATTGGTCTTAGTAATAAAAACTTGGAGTCAGCTAATGGGGGGGGGGGGGGTGAAAGCTGAAGGATCAGAGCAGAGTAGCCAGCAACTTCCCTCTACTAATGCACAGACCAAAGGGGGTAATCCTGTCCTCAGACTGCCTCCTCAGACTGCATAGCTTCTCAGGATGCATTGAGCTCCTGTCTCCTCCCGTCTTATATTCCTCTCTGCCCAGTCATATCACTGCTGTCTCTACCTCCCTAGTACTGGGATTAAAGGCCTGTGATCCTAAGTGCTGATATCACCTTTGTGTGAGCTCTGTTTCTCTTTTAGACTGGATCAGTTTTGAGCATCCCAGGGTGTCCTTGAACTTAAAGAGATCCATCCGACCCGATGGATCCGACCACTCCCTGGCCTCTGGTGACTTAGCTCTGCACTCTGAACTTCAGACAAACTTTATCTGCTAAAACACAAACAAAATATCGCGACAGGTTCACAGCTGGGTAAGAATTACTTTTCTGATAAAGAGCTGTCTTAGGGTTTCGACTGTCATGCTGAAGCAGCACGACTGAAACAACGTGGGGAGGAAAGGGTTTATTCCATCTCACAGTCCATGCCAAAAGAAGGTACGGCCTGACTTGTGCTGTGAGCCACACGCATTGGACAGTACAAGGACAGCTGACAGGTCACTAGGCAAACTCACAGGAGCGGTGAGGAACCCGATTTACAGAGCTTCAGGACCACCTGTCTTTTGAATAGGGCCTGGCAGTTCTGCAGAAATCTTGTGAAGCCATAGCCTTCCTCCTCTCCATAGCGGGATTTATCATAAAATATCCCAGCAGTGTATAAATCATTCTTTAAATCTGACTTTTCCTGTACTGGCAACTGTGAGGCCCAGGTATGAAAGTTCTCAGTCAGCCAAACCTTTGTTCTAATAGCCAAATCTACACAAAACTAGACCCCCCCTCCCCGTTATCATTATTGACAAAAAGGGAGCCCTGAGCAGGAGGCCCTGAGTAGAGAGACAGTATGTCTTCTCTTACTGATAAACAGGTCTGGGTTGCCCTGAATTTTCTCACAGCCAACTCAAGAGAGTATAACCTACTAGCCTTTGCTCTACCTGAACAAGCTATTAATATCCTGTACTTACCTTCACCTTTCATTTGACACAAGATCTTAGTCTAGGAAATTAACTGTTTACCCCCCCCCCAAAAAAAAAAACAGAAAAAAAAAAAAAAGCTTGGGTCGCTAATCCAGCCTCAGAGAAAGGAATTCCTTCTTGTCTGGGTGCCAGCGGATACAGCCCTCCAACAGCACCCTGTTGCTTAGCCCAGGGGTCAAGCACCATTCTAACCTTCCCAGTATCTACGGGGGAGCTTCACAGCCATGCCCCTTCTGAGACATAAGGTGCCTACTTTGTTAGTCTCCATCCATCTTGTTAGGCCTAAGAAAAGCATGCTTGGTACCATTGCTATCGCCTATGCAATTGCTAGCTATGTCTGTGTGGGTATATAAACTGCAGACCTTGTGGGATTGGGAGAAACATCAAGAGGGAAGGACAAAAGAGGAACATTGCAGAGGAGCATCGAAAGGGAACAACAAGAAGGAAACATTGAGAGAGCACTGGAGAGAGCATAGGAAGAATAAATAGAACATGAAGAAAGTATTTATATGCGCTAATTTATTTCATTTATCCTCAGATATCTTTTGTCAGCTTTTGTTTGTATAGCGGTCCTTCTGCCTCCTGAGAAGTTTAGAGGGCTGGCTAACCCCAGCATAAACCTCGATAGACCTGGAGGTAAAAACCCGGACACAGGAGCTGATGCAGAGACCATGAGGGAGTGCTGCTCACTGGCTGGCTCCTTGTGCTTTGCTCAGCCTCCTGTCTTGTATATCCTAGGACCACGTGACCGGGGTGACACCACCTACAGTGGGCTAGGCCCTTCCACATCCATCATCAGTCATAAAAATGCCCTCCAGGCCAGTCTTATGGACGTATTTCTTGATTAAGATTCCTTCTTCCCAGATGACTCACCTTGTGTCAAGCTGACATAAAATTAGCCAGCACAACTAACTTGCCAACTTCACACACAAACACACCACCCAAGCCATACCTTCTCCTCGTTCTCTGGGTATCATGTTGATATAAATCTCACAATGTAAAAGCATTTCTACTTTTAAGAGTTCTGTGGCCTTTACAAACTCAACACTCGGTTTCTTTAAAATATCAAATCTCTCTAAAACATCAAAATTCTCTCTAAAATATCCCCAATCTTTCTAAATATCCAAATATTTGTAAAATTCTAAAGTCTCTTGTAAATTTGTTAGCTCCTATAAAACTGAAAATAAGTTCAATACTTATTACAAGAGGAAAGAAGCCAGGTATAGTTTCAGTCAGATTAGAGCAAAACCAAAATCCAGCTGTGCTGAGCTAGCTCAGTGTCAGGCACCTGGAGCTTGTGATCTTGGACTTGGCAGTGGCCCTTCTCCAGCTCTGTCAGCCACAGCACACAGACCTTATGTCACAGGTTCAAGCTGGCTCTACACCACTGCTGCTACTGTCCCTGGTGCCATCCCATCATCATATTGGCATCTCCAATCGCTGAGTCGTCTTGATGTGAATGGACTGCATTTTCACCAATAGCCTCTCCTGGGCTCTCCTTGGGGACTCTGACCCTGCCACGTGGTGCCATGCCTCAACTTTTCCTCATGACCCCTTCAATCCTGGGACTTCTAATGTAACTAAGGCTGCACCTTCACCAATGGCTCTCCTGGCTGTTCTTTAGGGGCTCCAGTCCTGTCCTGCCACATAGCATCAAGTCTCTACTCTCAATGATCCTTAATGACTTCAAAACCCAGTACCACCAACTCTTCTACATTACCAAAGCTGGCTTTCAATGTAAGATGCAGCCCCATCAAACTCTGGACCACAGTCACTGTATGCTAACCTCAAGGAAATACTCACCAGAAGATTGCATCTACTGCTGCTGCTCTCTCTCTCTCTCTCTCTCTCTCTCTCTCTCTCTCTCTCTCTCTTTCTCTCCCTGTTGATTGTTTGAGACAGGGTTTCTTTGTGTAGCCTTGGCTGTCCTGAAACTCACTCTGTAGAACTTCAAACTCACAGAGATCCACCTGCCTCTACATGGGATTAAAGGTGTACACCACTACGCCCAGCTTGCTGGGCTCTTTTTAATCACCACTAACTTCTCAGCTAATGACCAGCATTGATTGCCCCAGAAAAGCAAAAATTTTGCTTTAGTAGTTCTTAATTCAAAATACCACCTAAATGGCATTGATAGAGTCTTTAAGGGACTTTACATTTCACATTCCAGGCCTCCATCATCTGCATTGCTCTCAACATTATTTTCCAGACTCCTACAGGACAGTCCAGTGAGTTCTGAGCACTCAACAGCTTTTCCAGCCAAAGTTCCAATGGTACCCCAATCCTCCCCAAAACGCAGGGCCAGGTCTGTCATGGCAATATGTGTTTCTACTGCTGTGCGAAAACACCATGACCAAACGCAGTTTGGGGAAGAACTTATTTCATCCTACACTTCTGCCTCACAGTCAGTCATCAAAGGAAGTCAGGGCGAGAACTGGAGGCAGAAGCCTGGAGGCAGAGACGGCGGAGGAGTGCTGCTGACTAGCTTGCTCTTCGTGGCTTGCTCAGCCTACCCAAGGGCCGCCTACTCAGGGGTAGTACTACCCACATCTCATATCAATCAAGACAAGGCCCTACAGGCTTGCCTACACACCAATCATACTCTTATTAAGATTCCCTTTTCCTAGATGACCCTACTTGTGTTAAATTGACGAAAAGTCCATCAGTACACATACATAGCACTGCAGTCCAAATACTATGACAGACATATCCTGTAAGATGAAGCTTCTACATCAGGACCAGCTTGATACCTCTGTGTGCTATGACTCAAACACAAGGTGTCTTCAGCAATGAGTCTTACCATCAAGGTCTAGGAGGTAACCAATAGCACTGGCCATAGCCTTTAAGGACACTAAAATTCTTTTTTAAAAAATGTCATCAGAAATTTACCTTCTACTGTAGAAGCTCCCATAGACAGACAAACAGACTGAAATGAAGTTACTCTCTAACAAGACAGCCATGTCCTTACTGGGAACCACAGGCTAACAAATAAGGAGCCCAGTGCCAGGAATGGGTTACATCTTCTGGAGCTGTTAGTCACTGAGGCCCGCAGACCTCCAAACAGTACAGGCTGTTATTCATCTTCGCTTTCTACCAGCAAAATCCACAGGAAGAGCAAAAATTATTTTCCTTATAAAGTTAACCTGCCCCAGGAATTTTCTTATTAATAAAAACAAACAAACAAACAAAAGACAAAAGCAGGTCAATAGCGCCTCTCAGCAGGTCTGTTTCTACCAGTGCCCTCTTACAACCTCTCATCAGCATCAGGGCTGGGGTATTCCTGTCGCTGCACTCTGTCAAAGTAAAGCTGGAAGTCCTTGGATGGTCCACAGGTCCTGACTGAAGCAGCCCCTTCTCTGCCACCTCTATGACAGCTTCCTGCACTCCTTCCTAGTTCTTGGTACACTATGGGCCACAAGGACCTCCTTGCTGTTCTGGAAACCAAGTAGCCATGTTTCTGCGTAGCTCAGGAATTCCCCCTCACCTCTCTTAGTCCTCACATCCTAAGGAAGGCTGACCTTGATGTTATAGGAGGAAATGCGTCCCCTTCTAGAGTAAGGTGCTGAAGTCTAGATCCTCCTCATTAGTGCCAGAATGAGACTGTGCTTGGAGATAAAGTTTAAAGAGGTGATTAAGTTCAGCTAGGTACCCAGCACGCAGGAGGAAGAGGCAGGTGGATTTCTGTGAGTTTGAGGTCAGCCTGGTCTACAAAGCTAGTACCAGGACAGCCAGGGCTACACAGAGAAACCCTGTATGGAAACCATTCCTCTCCTCCCCCCACCCCCCCCAAAAAATTCTGCTAGGTCCCAAATCAGCAACTGGTCCCAGAAGAAGGTGATGGTGACAGAACCAAGAACAATGTCTACAAGCGAAGGAGAGAGGCCTCAAGAAGAAACCAGACCAGTTGCCATTTTGACCTGTCTTAGGGTTTCTGTTGTTGCAACAAAACACCATGACCTAAAAGCAAGCTGGGAGGAAGGGGTTTATTTGGTTTACTCTTCCACATCACAGTTCATTATCAAAGGAAGTCAGGACAGAACACAAAGAGGGCAGGACCTGGAGGCAGGAGCTGATGTAGGGGCCATGGAGGAATGCTGCTTCCCGGCTTGTTCCCCATGGCTTGCTCAGCCTGCTTTCTTACAGAACCCAGGACTGCCAGCCTAGGGACGGCACCACCCACCATAGGCTGGACCCTCCCCTTTCAATTACTAATTAAGAAAATACCTTACAGACTTCCCTATGACCTGATCTTATGGAGCCATTTTCTTAACTGAAGTTCCCTCCCCTTAGATGACTTTAGCTTGTGTCAAGTTGACATAACACTAGCCAGCCCAACCTGTGACTTCTAACCTCCGGAATTGCAGGGAGACACAATTCTGTCACTTTTTAAGCCACCCAAACAGTACTTTGCTGTGACATCCTCACAGACCTGTATTCTGTTCTGCTCCTGGCCCTTCCTCCTGACCTTTGACCTCTGGGCCTGCCTGTGCCTTTGCTCCCCACATTATCCATCACCTTCAACACACTTTCTTGCTGCGGAAGGTGTTTATTGTTTGCAGTTCGGATCCCCCAAACACACACATCACAGGAGCTCTACAAGGGGCTGGATCTCTGCCTGCATGTATGTATGTGCACCTTCTGAGTCCCTGCGATTCCCTGGAACTGGAGTTACAGGCTGTCAAAGGATCACCATGGGAGGGCTGAGAACTGAACCCAGAAGTACGCTCAAAGCAGCAAGTGCCTCTTAATGACTGGACTCCAGCTACCCTGCCCAACCGCTTTTCTTTGGCTCAGCATTCCAAGCACCCCAGAGGTACGTAGCAGGCACTCAGTAACTCCCCCCTGGGTGGGTGGATGTTAAGACTCTGGCGCTTGTACCCTTACCAGGAGGCACCTGTTTTCAGAGAGGCTGGGAATGATAGGGAAGCCATGATTTCACAGTGTTGACTGCAGGGGTAACATCATACATGAAGGAGGAAGAAAATTTCTAAACTAGTTTTCTGCCTTACCATCTATCCCCTCCTTGTCCACTCAAGTGACAGCCCTTCCCATTAAGACTGAAAATCAGAGACTGCACCCGGGCTTTTCCCTCCCCTGAACAAAGCTCACACATCCTTTCTCAGTGTCCTTGACACAACTCCTACACAGGACAGCTCCACGTGCAGCCTACATATACAGATATACAGCCTCTACATATAGCTCTCATATATAGTGCTCTCTCTCCCGCCCCCTTCTACACACACACACACACACACACACACACACACACACACACACACACA